AGCGTGAGCGAGACGACGCCCTGTCAACTGTACGTCGTCATGACGACCATCTTGCAGAGATGACTGAAGCGGCCAACCAGGCTGATCGTCAGATGAACAAGCTGAGACTGGCTTTGGAGCAATTGGGCGATGGTGGGTGGGACAGGTTTTTTCTTCTAACTTTCGGTTGGCTTTAGTCTAAGCCTTAAAGGGTTTCTGTATCAGGCCAATTTCATTTATGCTTCATGTAAATACAATTTTGAGACTATTAGTTGATCTTGAATAAGAGTTTAGCCACTCTAGATCACTTTGGTTCATGTGAAACTGGTAGTGAATAGTCATACAGTTTGATAAGTAAGCCTTATAATGAAAATAAATTTTCTTGAACTTGACTGGACTGTAATTTAAAGCTCGCCTGAAGTAGTTCCATCAGTACCTTCAGCGGGAATCGAGCCCAGGTTGTGGAGGTGCAACATGCTAACACAACGCTAAGGATGCGGATGAGACAAAGGGATGAGCGAAGATAAGAGAAAGTCAATTTCATTGCAAGGCCTAATTGTCTGATTTTGGGACAATTCACCATCAGCCACCCAGAACTTAAGCTTTTAGTCAGTTTCATTTAGTCGCTTAGACACTTTGTCCTTGGGCCCTGTTGACCACTTCTCGGTGTGTTAAAGTACGCGAGCCCAGAGACAGTGAATGAGATACCTTGCCAACCCTAGATCTACTCTCTTACCAACCATCATGATGAGATACAGAAAAGCAAAGTGTACCATCGGACCTGAACTGAGGGGTCCACGGGCGGGATTAAACGTTTCTGCTGCTGACAATTGGATGCATCTGAAGGCTGATCCTCGGCTTGCATTGGAGGGTTCAAGCAGAATTACAGATCAGTGTATTTCTAAGAAGGACGAGCGTTTAAAACAGGCAAGTATCATTTTTGGGTTAACTTGATCACAAAAGTTGGAAGGGTGTTGCTTGCGGTAGATGGTGAGGTAGAAGGTCAACTTTAAAAAGCGTGAATTTGGAGAGACATTCAATTCCTCAAAAGCTCAACTAATGTGCTTTTATGCGGTCCGAGTAGTAGTGTTAGATCTATTTTAATAATTTTGGCATTTAACACAATTTTTCAAAAGTAGGCTGGCACCATTACACTGATACTGGACCCAACAAATAGAATGAGGATAAGTGTCGGAGTTCGTGGACTGGTTTTAAAGCCTATTTTGACTAAATAAACGATCAAGGCAGAGATAAAACTACTGGGAACTCTGGATCCTACCGTTATATGCAGTAGATAGAATAGTAAAAATATATTTAGAATTCCTGCATAAGCG